TATTGCAGCTATTGTGAATGGGAGTGTTTCCATGTGCTTTTTCTCTGATTGGTTGTTATTGGTATATTGAAAGGCTATAGACTTTTGTAGGTTAATTTTGTAACCGGCCACTTTACTGAATGTGTTAATAATTTCTAGGAGTTTGCGCATTCAATTTTTGGCATCCTTTAGATATAATATCCTATCATCTGCAAAAAGGGATAATTTGATCTCTTCTTTTCCAATTCTTACTCCTTTAATTTCCTGCTCTTGCCTTATTGCTCTTGCAAGAGTTTCAAGCACAATGTTAAAGAGAAGTGGGGATAGTGGAGATGCAACACAAAAAGTAAATGTAATAAAGGAAAATGTACATAAATTATACTTAAACAAAACTAAAACTTTTGTACTGTAAGCAATATCACAAAATCAAAAGAATCCACAAACTGAGAGAAAATATTTTCAAATGATATGTCTGATAAAGATTTTGGATAAAAAACATATATAAACTCTGATAACTCAGTCACTGAAAAGATAAATTAGCCAATCATAAAGAAACAATTTGAATATGAAGTTCTCCAAAGAAGATTTCTTAAGTAAATGAGAATATAGGTATCATTAGTCATTCAGAAAATATAAATGAAAAATGAGATCCTACTTCATAGCAATTAGAAAGACTAAAATGAAGAACTACTGACAAAATTATAGAAAAACTGGAATCCTCATACAGTAAGAATTTTGAATGATGAAAACATCCAGACATGGTGATGCACACCTGTTACCTCAGTACTTGGGAGAAAGAGGAAGGGGGATCATGGTAAGTTCAAGGTCAGCCTGGTCTACATAGCAGTTTCACGACAGCCAGGCCTACATAATGAGACCCTGTCTCAAGAAAGCAAACAAGCGTTCGCTTCGGCAGCATGTATAAGAGTGGAGCAATACAGAGAAAATTAGCATGCCCCCTGCTCAAGTATGACATGCAAGTTTGTGAAACGTTCCATATTTAAAAGAAAAATAAGCAGGGGCTGGAAAGATGGCTCAGCAGTTAAGAGTACTGACTGCTCTTGCAGAGTACCCAGGTTCAATTCCCAGCAACCACATGGCGGCTACGAACCATCCTTAACTCCAGTTCCAGGAGAATCCAAAACCCTCTTCTGACCTCCATAGCATTGCATGACACGGATGCACTCCCAAACATGCAGGCAATACACTCATACACATAAAATAAAAATAATAAATTAAATATTTTTTAAAAATAAAGCAAATAGACAAATGAATAAACGAATGAGTGAATGAATGAATGAATGAATGTATGAACAAATAGTGAAAATGTTAGAAAAAGTTAGGAGTTTGTAGTGCTAGTAAGTGCGGAGTTAACATGACATTAGTGATCTACTTTACATATATGCTCAAAAATAACAAAAATAATAAAAAATATGTACACACAAAACCTTTATACAGAAGTCCATGGGTGTATTAGTCATAGTAGCCTAAAGCATAGTTGTCAACAATAACTTGATAGGCTTTAACATATGTGACAGAATGCATGAATTTCAGTGGCAGATAATATGGTGAGTCCAAACAAGGGAGGGTGTCTAAATATGTTTAAGATGTAGTATATGAAATGCACCACAATTCAATAAAAATATATATTTAAAAATCAATGATGTATTGACATATGTTATAACACAGATAAACCTGAAAAAGTCTTATACTAGCTGATATAAACCAGCGAAAAAGAATTCATTGTCGCAGTCTGTTTATGTGACATGCTAGTAATGACTAGGGATAAAGAGAAAGAGAGAGAGAGAGAGAGAGAGAGAGGGATTTGATAGTGAAAAGTAGCTGCTAATGGGTATGGAGTTTTATACTGAACAAAAGAATATTCTAAAATTAGATCATGAGAATGGTTAACATCTATGAAATTATGTTGAAAAACCACTAACGTGTCCACTTGCAATAGGTAGATTTAATAGTATATGGATTATATATCAATGAAGCTGCTCTAAAAAGTATATCTATGCATCATAAAACTACAGATTTTTTTTCTTGTTTTTTAACAAGATGTGTAATCCCACCACATGGGATTTCTGCCAATCTTTCTGGAGTCATTTGTACCCAACCATTTCCACACCCTCTCATCCAGACTTCTCTTAGATGCCTGGGGTAGCTGGATGATTTGTTAATTACAAGACTGCTTAAGCCTTTTAATAAAGTCAGCAAATTAAAGCGAGAACCCAGATAAAGAGAATGCTTTCCAAAATGTCATAATGAAATTAAGGTAATGAAGCACTTGGAGGCCTCTCCTCCTTTCCTTTTGAATAGAACTTATTCCAAAGAAGCTGGAAGAGAAATGGGGCCTGAAAGTAAAGAAGGGGAAAAATAAATTGTATGCCATTAGTTTAATTATAAAAATTGATTACATGAAGCCATGTAAGACAGAAAATAATGGAACGCTAATGGGTTGGCTGATAACACATTTACTAGCCGACTCTCAGCTTGTAGTCATTGTTGAAAGGACAAAAAAGTAACAGCATTGGTATGTAAGTCCTCAATGCTGTTGAAAAGATTAATCATTTCCAGTAAGCTGGAAAATGAGGGCCATTTTCTTAAATAGTATCCCCTGTATAGAATGTTACCTTCTGAAACAGAATTGTTTGGTGATATCAAAGATTTAATAGATAAGTTAATGGTGAGAAGCTTTACATTCAAAATAGCTTCCTTACACATATTTTAACATTTCTATTATAAATCCCTTAAGGATTTTATAGGTCATTTTAATTCACACGAGAAAGACAGGAATTAACTTTCCTTTCCCAATAAGGATTTACAGAACATTAATTCATACTTCTAGCTAAATTGTTTAGTGATTTTAAAAACTAAAGTAAATATGTATTTTGTGCTCTCTGTGAACATCTTACTTTATCATACACAGTAATTTTCTAATCAAGCTATAGTCATCGAGAAAACAGTTTTGTATTCATCAAAAGTTCAATTACAACAGATATACTTATTTTCTTCAAATTTATTTATATGAAAACATATGTTTTCCAACTGGATTGAACCCCGAGAGTTCAGACACCTGCTGTTTTGTGATATTTCTTTCACTGACTTTGTCGCCTTGAAAAAGTCCCTTAATTTTCACAGCCTTTGTAATGCTAAGTGGACAACTGTGAGATGGCATGAGGGAAGAAATGTTGACAACAGCTAAAAGTAGATATGCAGGTAAGACAGACATATATGAGGCCCTTCTTATCAGAGGAGAAATTTGGGTTTATTTTTATGTAATCATAAAGGTTTTACACAGAAGAAGGTCCCATTCATGTCACAAAAAATCACTCAATCAGTTATATGTGGATGAAAAGGCCAGTCTGAATGTAGGAGGAAGACAACTAATAGTTATTGCAGAATGGGAATAAAAGATGAGGAGGACCTAATTAAGATAATGACAATGAAGCTGAAAATGTAAGGGAACATCATGGTGTATGTCTTTGAAAGTAGATATAGTCCTTGTCTGGTTGAGGGTCAGTTTAAAATCAGAAAGAGTAGAAAACTGAAGCTTGTGCGAACTTGGAAAACAATAATATTTAATGGACCGGCAAAAATTAATACTTGAATTATATAAGACAAGAGAGGACATCCAAACATAGAGCCAAGAAAGGGAAAAAAAACTTCACAGAGTGAGAGGAGCCAATAGTACCTGTCACTGCAAATAAAGTACAGAGGGCTGTAGTTCTCTCCATGGGTATTGGCCATGGATAACTGATCCAGTTGACTATTTTCTCCAAAATTCTTCAACAAAAACACACTCAAAATACTAGTGTCACACAAAATACGTGTGCACGGCCTGTTCATGAGTTTATAACTTCCGTTGAGTGGCACTTGGTACTTCAAGTTCGTTATGATGGCTCTGTTCTACATGTCATTCTCTTCCTCAAATGAGCAGGTTAACCCAAGGCGTATCTATCCTATGGTGATGTGAAAGTGTAGAAAGACAATCTCCCCTGAAAGCACGTTTCAAGCCTCTACTTGTGTTAGTTCTATTAACTTTTCATTAGGATTATTCAGAGAAATTTACATGATCAAGCTCAGTGTAAGGCAGAGTATTTAACTCAGCCTTTTGTAGGATGAACTTCAAAGTTACAGAGGACAAAGGTAAAGAACTTAGGGCAGGAGAAGTGGTATATCTCTGCAGGTAAAGGTGCTTCCTGCCAAGCCTGATGACCTAAGTTCAATCCCCAAGCCCAACAAGGTGAAAGGAAAGAATTAACTCCTGCATGTTGTCCTCTGACCTCTACATGCACTCACACACACACACACACACACACACACACACACACACACACATACACACACATAAATAAATAAATAAATAAATAAGTGTAATTTTAAAAAGAATTTGGGGGCCTAGAGATACAGCTCAGCTCTTAAGTACACTTGCTCTTCTTCCAGAGGACCCAGGTTCAATTCCCAGCATCAACAGTGGCTGACAACTGTATGTAACTCCAGTTCCATGGAATTTTATGCCCATTTTTTCACCTCTGGGGGCATTTCATGACATGGATGCACGTACATGCTTGCAGGCAAAACACTCTTACACATAATAAATAAAAATTAGAAAATATTAAAAAATAAAGAAAAATGAATTTAGGACAATAGTGCAATTTGGTGTAGTGACTTCTCTCAGAGCAGTTTGAGTGGAGTGGAGATGGCAGTAGTCTAATACTGATGAATTATAAGGTGACAGAATTAGAACTAAGCTGAGGCAACAAGTCAATATTTAAATTCTGAAAAGTGTAGCTGCAAAAAGAAAGGCAATAATCTAGTCTAGATTTCTGTTGTTGTTTAAAGATGAGCTACAAACTCTTATCTGAAAGCTGAAGAGAAGGATCCCGCAGAGCAGTAAGAAGTTGGAACACACAAAGAGAGAGGGAGTCCACAGAGGAGGAGCCCAGAATAGATGGGTACCCAGATGGTGAAATCAACTTCCAGCAACAGCAGAGTTGTCTCTTTCCCTGAGACTGAAAAGATGTAAAGTGTAATGTTTCGTGAAATTTATGCTTGATATATTAATTTATGCCTCTGGAACTGTAGGTAGGCTCATTACTGTGAGATTTCTTTCTGTTCATATCGTCATAATTTAGTCTGGAAACCAAACAGAGGAAGTTGAAAACTATACTGGTTCTATAGGTAATGAAGCCTCTGAAAACTGCAACAGGAGATAGGCAATTCCAAATTTAGCAACTTCAGAAAGATGTTATCACTTCAAATCAGGAAGAGTGAGAGTCACTAAAGCCCAGAAATCAGAGCCATCTGGTGCTCACTCCTGAAATGTGGTAGCTGCAGGGCAGATACCAGATACCGTGGACCAGAACCACTTAGGAGGGACGAATTCAACCTTTCTCCCACGTTTCTGTTTCATGTCAGTGTTTCTAATTGGCTGACCCAGAAAGAAGCCAACTCCCAAGAAATACTGGGAAATCCTGACCCCCTACAAAGGTCACTCCATCTAAAACACTATACAGAGTAAAGGCAGACAATAGAGCTAACAGGTCACAAGCCCTTGGTTGTGAGCTCACAAAACCAATGTTTCACATACATCCCTTAGTTCAAAATCACAAATGCAGTATCTAAGGAAGAGTGACAGATGATATCCAATAAACAGACTTTTAAAATATATTCATATATTGAGATCCTGTGTTCTAATTTTCCAAGCAATTTCATTTGATTTTACACCTTTCACAGCATAGAGTTAATAACCCCCTCCCATTTTTCTGACAACAAATCTGTGGTTCAGAAACTTAATCATTTCTCTACCAAACTATAAGACAATGGACACCCACCTTCCTGGGAAGATGGCTTTTTGTTAATCCTCACAACTTGTCATGAACATCCTTTGACACACTCATTAAACGTTTCAAAAAGCGAGTTCACCTGGAACAAGTATTTATTTCACTTGTAGGTGAATATCCCAAACCATATGTTATATGAAAACCTTCGTAATAAC